CGGGACTCTGCCCGGGGACTCTGCCCGGGGACCCTGCCCGGGGACCCTGCCCGCCTGCCGGGGACTCTGCCCGGGGACTCTGCCGGGGACCCTGCCCGGGACCAGGCGGTGGTGGCGCTGAGCGGGGCCGCGTCTGCCCGGCAGGATGACGACCTCGGGCGCTCTGTTCCCGAGCCTGGTGCCAGGCTCTCGCGGGTCCTCCAACAAGTACCTGGTGGAGTTCCGGGCGGGGAAGATGTCCCTGAAGGGCACCACCGTCACCCCCGACAAGCGGAAAGGGCTCGTGTACATCCAGCAGACGGACGACTCCCTCATCCACTTCTGCTGGAAAGACCGGACCTCGGGGAACGTGGAGGACGTGAGTGTGGCTGGGCGCGCACGGTCCCCGAGCCCCGAGCCGATGCCAGGCTCCCCCGCTGCGCGCCTGGGGAGACGCCACCCCGCCGCCTCCCAGTCCCTGGCTGCTGCTCCCGGAGCCCTGCCCCCGGCCCTCTCCTGACCCTTGCCCTGGGGTCCCTCTCTGGCGCGTCAGGCCTGGTGGCACCTGTCCCCTGGCTCGGTGACTGCCTTCGGCGCTGACTGCCCTCCTGCTCGCCAGGACCTGATCATCTTCCCTGACGACTGCGAGTTCAAGCGGGTGCCGCAGTGCCCCAGCGGCCGGGTCTACGTGCTCAAGTTCAAGGCGGGCTCCAAGCGGCTCTTCTTCTGGATGCAGGTGTGGGCAGGGCGGGGTGGTGCTGGCGCCTGGGGGGCATTGGCTGGCACAGGTGCCCCCAGGGCCCCGGCCCCTCCTACAAGGCCCCAGCGCAGAGGCGAGTGACCCTCGAGGCCGCACCCCGTCTTCCCCGCTGTGTCCGAGGCACGTAGCCCCCACAGCCCCGTCCCACGGCCCAGAGAGCTGCTCGCTTTGGGGCGGTGGCCACTGGGCTTGTTTCCATCCGCGTGCTGCGAAGGTGGGGGCGGGCTTGCCCCGTGCACGGCCGCGAGCCAGCAGCAGGCCGTGCGTCCAGAGGGCTGTGTGTGCGCGGTGTGGGCAGCGCTGCCACGGTCCCTCCCCACACAGTCCGCGGGCACTGGGCCAGACGGGCGTGCCGGGCCGGGAGGGCTCCCGTCTGGCCGGGGTGGGCCGGCAGGAGAGCACCGACGGAGGGAGGACGGGCGCAGCACAGCTGCCCTGTGACTGCTCGCACCCAGGCCCGTGCGGCCCTGCCGGGGACACGTTTCTGTGTCCCGCCTGGAAGCCGCGTACGTCACGTGCTGCTACGGGTTTTCACAATTCCGCCAGAGAGAAGGGATGTGAGACAGCGCCACACAGGGCAGTCACCACTGTCCCCCCCCCTCAGGGTGCACACGTGCCCACGTCTTTCTCAAACGGTGCGGTCAGCCACATGGGACCCAGCCGCCACTGCCGCCAGGCCAGGGCTGGCCGCCGCCACTGCCCCACTCTTGCCCCTGCCCCTTCCTTCGTTCAGTGCCACAAGGGCAGGGTGGCCTCACCTGTCCCTGGCACCCCGTGGTCTGGAGCAGGTCCTGGGGCCTGCGGCACATCCTCTCGCGGTTCCCATCCAGTGGCCGTCCGATGGGCCTGCCCTGCACGCCGCTCCTTTGTCAGGGCCGCATGGCTCGGGCAGGCGTGTGGCGAAGGGCAGGGTTGGAGAGAGCCATGGACCGGCCAGAGGGGAGGGCGTGGCTCCCGTCCCCTCGCAGCCCTGGCAGCCATGTCTGCACCAGGTGGAAGCAGAGGCACCCGCCGCTCAGCGCCCCTGTCCCCACAGGAGCCCAAGAGCGACCAGGACGAGGAGCACTGCCGCAAGGTCAACGAGTGCCTGAACAACCCCCCGGTGCCGGGCGCGCTGGGCAGCAGCGGGGGCGGCGGCCACGAGCTGTCTGCGCTAGGCGGTAAGGCCGTGGGCCCGGAGAGCCGAGGGCCCTATGGCAGCCCGGGTCTGAATCCCGCCTGCTGCCTGGGCTGGGTGATGCCCCGAGGGGCCCAGGCGGCGTCTGAGCCCGGCCTGTCTGTCTGCAGGGGAGGGCGGCCTGCAGAGCCTGCTAGGGAACATGAGCCACAGCCAGCTGATGCAGCTCATCGGCCCCGCCGGCCTCGGAGGACTGGGTAAGGCCGCCCTGGGCTGCCGTGAGCACGCGTGTGTCAGGCCCTGGCCCCGGCCCTGGCCCCCTCTCCCTCTGGGAAGGCGTCCCCTCGCCCTCGACCTGGAGCTCAGCGCACTGTGGCTGTGGACGTCCCAGGGGCGGGCGGGGCGTGCACGAAGCCGAGGAAGTACCTGTGACAACCTGTGAGCCTCCCCTCCCTTCCGACCTAAGCACGTCCCCAGCCTGGTGGGATGAGACTCGCAGTGACCCTCCAGACGCAGGGTTCGAGCTGCCCTGAGGCTGCCTTTTGCCTTGGCCTGGGGGTGCCAGCCGAGCCCTGAGGAGGCATCTCCTTGCTCCTCCCAGGCGGACTTGGGGCCCTCACCGGGCCAGGCCTGGCCAGCCTGCTGGGCAGCGGAGGGCCTCCAGCCAGCAGTTCTTCTTCCAGGTGAGCTGTAGCACCCTGGTCAGTGAGCAGTTGCCACTAGCCAGGCTCCTTCGTCCCCTCTGCTACAGGGACACACTGCAGGGGCCCGGGGTAGAGGGTGACTGGGGAGGGACTTCTCACGCCGAGCCCCCTGCCGGACCCCGAAGTAGACCTGCTGAGTCGGAGGTGCCTCACAGAAGGTGGCTGCTCCAGAACGCCCTCGCTCTCCCCAGCTCCCGGAGCCAGTCAGCAGCGGCCACCCCATCCTCCACCACCTCTTCCGCCCGCGCCACCCCAGCCCCTTCTGCTCCAGCAGCTGCCTCGGCCACTAGCCCGAGCCCCGCGCCCAGTTCAGGCAACGGAGCCAGCACAGCTGCCAGCCCAACTCAGCCCATCCAGCTGAGTGACCTGCAGAGCATCCTGGCCACAATGAACGTGCCGGCCGTGCCAGGAGGCGGCCAGCAAGGTGAGGCCCGGCGGCACCAGCACGTGCATTGGCCAGAGTGGAGGCCCATGCCTGCGGTGGGGGCGGCCCCGGCCCCAGCCTGACCCTGTCTCACACCCCAGTGGACCTGGCCAGTGTGCTGACGCCCGAGATCATGGCCCCCATCCTCGCCAACGCTGACGTCCCCCTACCTGCCCTCAGGGGAGTCGCTGCCGCAGACGGCGGACGAGATCCAGAACACGCTGACCTCGCCCCAGTTCCAGCAGGTGGGTGCAGCCCCGGCGCCCTGCCTGTCACCGTGCACGGCTGGGACTCAGCTCTGCCCCGCTCTTCTCGCAGGCCCTGGGCATGTTCAGCGCGGCCTTGGCCTCGGGGCAGCTGGGGCCCCTCATGTGCCAGTTCGGCCTGCCTGCGGAGGCCGTGGAGGCGGCCAACAAGGGCGGTGAGTGCGCCCCTCCCCCCTCCTCTCGTCGGCCTTGTGGGTGGCCCGGGGGCCCTGGCCCTGGCCCTGGCCCTGGCCCTGGCCCTGACCCTGGCTCTGGCTCAGGCTCAGAACGCCACTGCACGCGTGCGTTTCAGATGTGGAAGCGTTTGCCAAAGCCATGCAGAACAGCGCCAAACCCGAGCAGGAGGAGGGCGAGGCAAAAGACCAGAAGGACGAGGAGGACATGAGTTTAGATTGAGGTGCCGCCGTCTGGCCACCCCGTGGTCCTGGAACCTCAGTAGTGTGTCTGTGACTTGTCGCGTTCCCTTGCTGTATTCTCACTTGCGAATAAAGCCTTTGCTTTTATCTGCAACTCGCATCCTTCACCTGACGGATTGCTGGCTGGAGAAGCCTCTCCAGGTTCCCGGTGTGTTCTCTGGGAGGCCCATGTGGCCTAAGGGCGTCGGGGGTTGCTCCTTGGGCCGAGGCCCGGCGCCTATGTGAACTGACCCAGGCCTGGCTCCGAGCTGTTCTTCCCTTTCAAACCAACACGCGGTTTCACAGAACGTTTCATTTTTTATTGTGAGGCACCAGGTGACGGGTCTCGTACTACAGGTTGGTGGGAAGTAAGTACGAGAGGCCCATTTGACAGTTTTGCCCCATTTCCAGAAATAGGATCTCAGGACCGGGGCTCGAGACCGATGGCAGCCACTGAGCCTGCAACACCTGGAGGGGTGTGGGCAGGCGGGCCAGGCGCACTTGTGCCCCCCCCTGCCCTGCCGTGTGGCACGAGGGAGGGGCAGCGGCTGCGCTATGTGACTGGACAGCCACTGGTCCCCACTGAGCCCCGGACCCGCCCAGAGTGGGTCACGCCGACTGGGACGCCGTTCACTGCCAGCTTCCTCATGCAGCCGCGGTAGGCCGGAGGCCGAGGGTGTGCCCAGGTGGGGGATCCAGGCGGTGCAGCTGGAGGTTCTGGATGTGCAGGAAGAGGGAGCATGCTGGCCCGAGCCGCCCGTGCCTTGCGTCGGCTGCCCACTGCCCCGTGGGAGGGCAGACAGGTGGGCACAGGCCTCTCCAGCACAGCCGCTTACCAGGCAGGCCCCCAAGGGACAGGAGTGCTGGGGTGTTGGCCCAGGCTGCTGGCGAGGGGCCCGTGGTGTGGTTGCTCTGCGTGTCCACCGCCTGCTGGAGGGTGCTCCCACCTTTGGTCACTGCAGGGTAGATTTTGTGGGTGGGGCTGCCCTCGGTGGGCAGTGAGTCTAGAGCTGCCCCATGTGACCATGCAGAGGGTGGGCCCTCCGC